TCGGGTCATACACACACGAAAAGCATAAAATTAAGTGATGAAAATCTCCACGTATTTTAGGAAAAATTTTCATTCTTACACTATCAAAACTGAAATCTAAGAAGCATTTTCAATTCTTTTTAATTTCAGACACATAGATACAGGAGTGTTTCAGCACGTGGGAAAAGGAATTGAATACATTGTGTGATGTGGAGGTCTAGAACCATGATTTTTTTTTTATTAAGTTGAAATCATCTTGCACTTTAAAGCCCAAGCTTGGGGAGGATGGAAAATATAGTTCGATGTAAGCATCATTACCACTCATCATTCTTCAACAGGAGATGGAAAATAAAGTGAGGTCAAGACCCCTTTGGCAGAACAAGTCCTGTATAGGTACATTAAAAAATGCTTTCTCAGAAAATGGTAGGGTGGTAAAAACAGAATTTACAATGAGTTCTAGAACTGCCAAAATATGGCCCTTGAGCCATCCCAGGGAGGAACAGTGCCATAGTGGATATCAGTATTTTCACCTATCTGATTTTTCTTTTTCAGAAAGTCAAACCATTTTCTTCATCCTGGAACCAGAATCTCTCTTTTAACTTTGACATTGTGAAAGGAAGGTGGTTGCTAGCCCCAGCCCTGGGAGCTGAATCAAGGGAACCAAGGAGGGAAGGGAAAAGGCCACTAACTCCTGAACACATATGATTAGCAGAGGTCTGCAGTGAGCAGGAGAGATGCAGAACAGGGCTCAGGCAGCCCTCAGACAGTGAGGTAGGCCAGGACTTCTGAACTTAGTTAAGTGACAGAAAAATACAATCAAGTAGGAAAAAAATTTTTGCAAGAAATTCTTACAGCAAAATGTAAATTGAATATATTTAAATCTACTATTGTCCCAAAGTTTAGTTTTAATTTCCTTGCATGACTTTCTAATAGACAAAGATAGTAACAATAAAATCTAGAATTTTAGCCATTTACTTTACTTCTCTTTTCTTAATGTCTGGCTCTAAGAGAAATATATAAAATTATGCTTTATGTTTGATTTATCCTACTAAGATTCAGTAATTATTAAGTGGTGCCAAAAGAGAACTGGGAAGAGATAGGATGAGGCCTGTTTACAAAATGAACTATTTTTCTTCTTGTGTGTTCTTCACTGGATATTCATCCTTTTATTAATCCTTCACACATAAGCACACTCACCCAGATACATACACATATACTTCAAGATATAAAATAACAATATGAAAGACATTGTTCACTACTGATCCAAATGCTTTCAATTCAACTATATATCAAATTTAATCCTTTGGTAGGAATTTAGAAACAAAAAGGAAGAGAATGCTGTATTTTTTCAATTTTAATTTCTGAAAAATTTCTCTCTTCCTTGTAAGTCACAGTGGGGTGGGAAGGGCTTTCTCTAGGAAAACCAGGTTTTGTGTGACTGACACATACTGCATTTTTAATAGCAGAATGAAATGCATTATTCAGAACTCGGTGTTGTCCAGCTGATTCAGTTCTGCCATTGCTCTTCCACCTTCCTGTGCATCCGTTGTCTGAAGTTCAAATTCTTTTTGTGATCAATACTAGTGGCCACTATACTATTTGTTTGCCTAGGTATTTGTGTGCTAACAAACTGGCATGCTGTATTGTGTATTTTATAGTATATTTTAATGGAGCAGAAAATTATGACTCAGTATGCACTTTTGAGCTGTCTCAAAGAATATCTGAACATATCCACTAGCTATTGTGTATTTTATAGTATATTTTAATGGAGCAGAAAATTATGACAGTATGCACTTTTGAGCTGTCTCAAAGAATATCTGAACATATCCACTAGTCTGAATTTTGACTTTTTCCTTTGATTAGTGATAATAGAATCACATTTATAGAAATAAAGTACTCTATATTATGGAATAGTGTAAATGTAAGGATTTTACCTTTTAACATCATATAGTGTCCTTTATATGGCTTCAAAAATCCTCTGTGCTCAGGGATGATACACCTAGAGATAATATTCTATTGGTATTCTAAAATTGGTGTTCTCAGTGTTAAGAATCAAACATGTATTATGGCCTAAACTATCAGATATACTGTTAAGAGCTCAAAGGCTAGATCTAGTTACATAGTCTTGATCCTTCCCAGAACAAGTTTTAGCATAGAGATAATTTGAAAAATCAGGCACAAGCAGGAAGTCAAAAAATTCTACTCCAGGGACCAGTGATATGGCTCAGTGAGCAAAGGCACTTGATACCAATTCTGGTAACTGGAGTGTGATCCCTGGGAGTGCATTGTGGAAAGAAAGAATTGACACCCTAAAGTTTCCCTCTGACTTCTACATGAGTGCCAGGTAATGAATGCATCCCAATACAATGAATAAATAAAATGTAATTTTCACAATGGGGCTTTCTATTTTAGATCTAACTTAGTTAAATGCTTCTATCTGAATAATTTTGCCTGTATCTTACCTGGCCATTATTTACTTCCTTTGTGAAAGAGGAATCATGTTAATCCCCACTGCAAAGATTCATGGGAGACTCAGATTGATTAACCTGTCTTAGCTTTGTGGGTATATTACGAAGATTTATATGAAGATATATTTTATACTTATCATTATTGCCTATGTGTTTAGTTTTTTTTTTTTTTGAGGCAGATTCCTCTGCAGCTTTGGAGGCTGTCCTGGAACTCGCTATGTAGACCAGGCTGGCCTAGACCTCACAGAGATCCCCCTGCCTCTGCCTCCCATGTGCTGGGATTAAAGGCGTGCACCACCAATGCCCGGCTGCCTATGTGTTTTTTATCTTGAACTAATGATTCCTACCCCTTTGAGGATGCTTCCAAAATGTAAGCTAAAAATAAAGAGCTGTTCCTGGTGTAGACTTTCTCCTCATTTATACATGATAATGTTCCAAATCTAAATCATATAGGAACAATATGTTAGAAGCAACTAAACAATTGAGTTAACTTCAAAACATTTAATTTGTGTAGACATGACCCTTCTACTAAAATAATATGATCTGTAAACCACTCTTAGTGTTTACAAGTAGAATTTCTGCTTATTCCTCTCTGGATGATCACTACATGTTCACAATCTGCACGATTCGTAATCAGGACAATAGTTTCTAACCCACAAGATTTCAATGACAATAAAAAGCAACATAAGCAAAATACTTAATGAAAATTTGGATGATGTTTAAAAATGAGTGTATGTAAATGGTGAGCAACAATATTAGGGAGTAATGCTGAGTAATCACAGACTAGCAACAAGCAATTGCTCTCAAAAACTACAAGTAAAAAATGAAAAAGGGAAAGACGCATTGGGAGGAGAGGATTGGGGTGGGCTAGGTGGGGTGGGAGGAGGGGTGGGAGGGAGAACTTTGGTTGGAACGTAAAATGAATTTTAAAAATTAGTTTAATGAAGAAAGTGAAAGACAAAGTTCACAGGGAATGCATTTAAATTGATTAACAGATCGTATGTAATTTTATTTTTAAAATTTCACACTCCACAGCAAATATTTTCCCTCAAAATAACTATCTGAAATTATAACTCTTTTCTTATTTTATATTTTATTGTTGTTCTTTCGGTGGCTATTTGTTTTCTTTTTTCTTTTCTTTCCTTTTGTGTTGTTGTTTGGTTGGTTGGTTTTCAAGACAGGGTTTCTCTGTGATGCTTTGGAACCTTTTCTGGAACTTGCTCAGTAGACCAGGCTGGGCTACTACTCACAGAGATCCGCCTGGCTCTGCCTCCTGAGTGCTGGGATTAAAGGTGTGCGCCATCATCACCTGCTGCCTATGTGTTTTCTAATGGAGACAGAAAGGGTGTCGATCCAGATGGGAGGGCAGGTGGGGAAGATCTTGGAGAAGCTGGGGAAGAGGAAACTGTAATCAGAATATTTTGTATAAAAAATCTACTTTCAATAAAAAGAAAGATAGAAAAAAGGTAAAAAAATGAAAGTGAAGTAGCAGTCAACACAGCTGAAAGCAGGGAAAGAAATGAGAACAAGAAGTCACAGGTGGAGGACACATAGTGTGGATAGATCGATACCGTTTGACATCAGAGGCTGCATCTGGACTCGATTCCAGCACCTTCCATTCATACACACATGCGAGTCTTAATAAGAATCTTTTTTCACCCACTGACATTACATTTTCCAGTCAGTACACACACACACACACACACACACACACACACACACACACACACACACACACGTGCACCACTCTCATAAAGTACTCCCATTCTATTCAAATTCTGTTATTGGTGTGTTTCTTGTAGTTGAACCGAACATATATGTTTAAGATATACTTAACATATATATGTGTGTGTGTGTGTGTGTGTGTGTGTGTTATGAGAATAACTAAGTATACATATGATTGTGGAACATCTGTACCCATAAAATGATAATTTTATTTTCCTGTTGATTGAATATAAAAATAAAGTAACTCAAATTATTGAGGAATAAGTACACATATGATTGTGGAACATCTGTACCCATAAAATGATAATTTTATTTTTCCTGTTGATTGAATATAAAAATAAAGTAACTCAAATTATTGAGGAAATGTAGGCATTACAGATGCTCTTGGATGCAGGCACTTGCTCAACAGGAACAAAGGAGGGTGTTCTGGTTCCTCCTCAGGAAAGCCCAGATCCTCTCCAGCTGAGTGAAGAATGGATTCCTGACAAGTCAGCTGGGATAAAACCCTAGACTTCTTGGTAATACACTTGCATCACTGTATCTAGTTGAGTTTGTCACAATATCTTAATAAAATACTATCTAAATTTTCAGCAAAATGTAAAATTCATAGAAATAACTCTAACAAAATATATTTAAGGACTCTTTTCCAAACACTTGAGAATCTTACTGAAAATGCTGTTAGTAAAAATTGTTGGAAAATAATCCTTCCAAACAGATTTTTTTTTTACAAAAGTAACAAAATTGTCAAGGGTACTATTTTGGAGTTCAGAAAAAAATAATCAAAGGCTTTCAGATACCTGGTGTCACATCTTTATAACTCCTTGATAGCATTGAAAAGAAGCAGCTGACACTTGAGTCCAACCTGGAGCCAAATGCCAAGAGATGAAGAGTGCTAGTTTTCCTTCAGAAACCTCAGTCTCAATGTGTCCTAGCTAATGGTTCCTAACAGAAAATGGGTAAGACCTCATTCACAAAACTGTATTTGATCCAAGCTGTCATATTTTAAGTGAAAAAAGTTACTGCACCAAAGACGATTGTTAGAAATAAGTACATTTTGCAAATAAGTCTTTAACTCATCAGGTATTTGATCAAGTGGATGGTAGTTGAGGCAAAGAATAGACTGACCAAATGCTTCAATAGAAAACTCAACATGGAGCTAGCCATAGCTCTTCACCAGTTCTGATATACCTGGGAATCCAAAATCCACATAGATGCAAAGGTCTCTATCAGTGCCCAGGAAATACCCAAGCATGCTCCAGTTCAGAGGTTCAGTGCAAGTAGAAAATGAAGGCTATGGCAGAGACCTTCTGGAAAAACATATGAGTTAATTGAGCAGAGACTTAGATAGCCTTACATACTGAAGAATATAAATAGTATAGAATCCATTCAGTAAATCGAGTTAACAACAACCACCATAACAAGAAGACAATGTAATTTCTAAAGTGGCTACATGTTTTACATGTTAAGGTTTCCATAATTGTGTACCACATAGAAGTAGAAATATGGCTCATAGGCAAGAAAAAAATCAATCAACGAAGTTTTTCAGATAGCCAGATGTTCTAAAATATCTAAGGCAGTGATCAAAGGTGTAATGTTGGGGATTTACACTTCCTAATATGAAAACTTACTAAAATCCAGAATAATCAGTGCCAGCAGAATATTGGTATACATGAAATGTAATATGGGTATAGAGACAGAGACATAAACAACTATTCATCTTTTGTTGATCACACTGCATAACAGTTAAGTAGAAAGGGAATGGTTTGCTAAATGATGTTAGTTCCATTATACCCTATAAAATAAGCAACTTTAACTTCATGTCTATTTAAAAAGTAAATATGGAGTTGAATCATAGGCCTAAAAGTAAAAGCTAAGTAATCAAAATGGAATATACTTTTGAGAGAGGCAATGATTCTTACCTCATAAAAGATTTTTAATAATTTCTTCAATATTCTTTTGAGAGAGGCAATGATTCTTACCTCATAAAAGATTTTTAATAATTTAAAAAATTGTTGACAAATACAAAGTGTATTCAGGGTAATACTAGTAGAACTATCATGATGCAATAATACATATATGTAATATATGTATATATGTATATCATACATGTATGTGATATATATATATATATATATATATATATATATATATATATATATAAATCATATAGAATACCATACAATTTGTATATTCATCCCATTTCAGAATATATAGAACTTCTAAAATAAGAACAAAAATCTGATATAGCATAATTTACAAAGGTCAAAATTTGAATAGATTTTGCCTATTCAAAAATTATATGGAAATGGTTGATCAGTGCTAAAAGTTGCTTGACATCATAAAATTTCCAACTTTTCATGGGAACTCTAATTTAAACACATATATCTAAAAATTTAAATGTCGAATCAGAAAGAAAATGGAACATTTGCACTTGTGTCGGGGTTAGCTCACTTTGTGTGATGATTCCCAACTCCATTCAGTTAGAATTTCATAGTTTTGTTTTTCTTCATAGGTGAAGACTGTTCCATTGTGTGATGTACCATATCGTCACTAGTCTCTCATCAGTTGATTGACATCTAGGCTGTTTCCATTTCCTGGCTATTACAAATACAGCTGTAGTAAACACAGATAAACAGGGATCTCTATAGTAAGATATTCAGTCCTTTGGGAATATGCCCAGGTATAATATGTCAGATCTGTTTTAGCTTCGTGAGACACATCCAAACTGATATCCACAGTGACCACACAAGTTTGCATTCTCCTGCTTGCAGAAGTTAGTTTTGAATCTTAGCATATGTGTGTTTCATTTGGAACATCCACAGAGATCAGGGAGTGAGAGCCTGTCTCTTTCCAAGGAGACAGAATGGGTGGCATAAAGGGTCAAAGTGAGTACTGGAACAGGATGGGTTAAGAGGGGTGGGGTGGTAGGACAGGGAAGACAGAACAGTATGGAGAAAGAATTAGAGTTGTTAGGGACATCACATCAGTGACAAAAAGCCTAATGGCTCTAGTTTTGCTTACAGTTGCTAGGATAGGATGGATACAGTATGAAAGACATACATACAGATGCATGCCCTTTTCTGTTCTTTGTGTTGACTTTTGCACTGTTCTCTTGAGTCTGTCATACAGTTTTGTATCTGAGATCAGCCAGGAAAATAGCCTTGCTACAAGTCTTAAAGTATTAAGAGAAAAACAAGTCTTATGAGAAAAGTATTAAGAGGAAAAGTGTAAGAATTCACATTCACACAAATATAAGAAAAACTGGAAAAATTAAGTTGTTTAATAGGGGAGAAATACCAGTACCATAGTTACCTCACTCATGTAGTGTACCTGGAAGAGGGTGGGGCCTCCTCCATCAACTTCTGGAGGGTTGGTAGAAAGTGTTGCCTATGAGCAACCTTCTGCCTCTATGGCACAGAACCAAGCATGCAGGAAGGGCATCAGGCTGCTGTGGCCAGGCCAGGCTTCCAACAGGGAAGAGAAAGAAGGCAGATGAGAAATAGAGCAGTAGGCAGAGACTGGAAACTGCTAGAAACTGGGAGCTGCTGGATAAGCCCCGGCTTCCCACTTGTCTGTGACCACTGAAATCCTCTGAGGGTGGTTACTTCATGGGCTCCTGCTATGCTCCCTTGCACACACCACATGCTTTGCTCTTTCACCAACTCTGACCTGCACACTGGCACTCACTCTAGTTGGGAGCAGAGAAGCCTAATTAACTAAGCATCACTGAGCAGAAAAATAAGAATGACATCATTGATAGAATCAATCCCTCTTTTTCCTCCCTCTCTCTCTTTTCCTTCCTTCCTTCTTTCCTTCTTTCCTTCCTTCTTTCCTTCTTTCTTTCCTTCCTTCCTTCCTTCCCTCCTTCCTTCCTTCCTTCCTTCCTTCCTTCCTTCCTTCCTTCCTTCCTTCCTTCCTTCCTTCCTTCCCATTTTCTTTATTCTTTCCCCTTTCCTTTTTGCAGTTCTATGGGTGAACCAAGACTGTGTGCATGCTGGGTAAGTAATCTACCATAGACCCCCACACCCAGCCTCAGTCCAGATAACATCTAGTGAAGTGTTAGTAGCAAATGAAACCAAGATATCCTCTGTACCCTTAGCAAATTTTTATGTTGTTTTTTTGTGTGTTGCTATTAACTATAGAAAATTTGATGTGTTTCTTATGATTTATTCATCTGTAAAATTTATGTTTTGTAGTCTAACATATCTTTCTTTGGGTTTTGTACTTTATATGCTTTGCTCACACCTCAGTTAGTAGTTTATGTTCCTGTATGATACGGAGAATGATCTAATAGCTGTCCTTTTGGTTTTGAATGAGTTCATTAAGTGCATAGCAAGCAAAATTGAAAACACAAATGGTGAGTACCAAATAGAGAAAATGTTCAAATAAACAACAAAATATCATCAAAGTGAGAATTCACAGCAGCCAACAGAAATAGCCAATTGAAGAAGCCAGCAAGAGCCCCTTATGTAGAGTCCCGGATGGGGCAGAGTGTTGCCTTCAATGAGGCTCCCAAGGAAAAGAACAGGTAGCAGCAGAAGATAGATAACAGCATCAGGTGTGGGTATTGCGTTCATCCCTGAGATGACTGGGAAGAGGCAAACAGAGCACTCTCCACGCATGAGCTTCTGGCTTCTCTCCCACCAAAGGCATTTTTTAAAGCATGGGATAAACTAATAGCACATCCTCTTAGAAATGATTTACCTTCTAGCTGTTCTCGTAGACACAATGTTTTAAACTCTTAGCTGCTTGCTGCTTTCCTTTTTCTTACTACAGATTTACGAGGGAAGCCTGCCTCAAGACAGGGAGTTTTGAGGACATTTGGAAAAAAAACACATGGGTCTGAAATGGTGGAGGCAACCCCACTTGCAGAGCCAGTTCCTCCGTTAGCTGAAACAGCACATGAAAACGCACCAATATGAAGCACGTTGCATCTCATTATATTCCTCTCTGCTATGTGCACAGGAGATGCTTTGGTGTGTTATGTTGCTGACACATTTCAAGGCCAAGATATTCATTCTCCCAGCTTTGGGAATGTTTATTGTTGGCAACTTGCAACTGTGTCCCTGCCTGAGAATTGCTTTCAGCTGCAGAAAACGGCCTTGCCCTTGTCACCAGGGAATCACACCTCCAGTAGCTGTTTGATGTAGGAGTACAGAGGCCTGGCCCATTGGCTTCAATTGGGAGTAATTCTGTAGGGGCATCCACACCTGAAAAATCTCAGGGGGACTGGATTTGTTGGTTGTTGGAGCTGTGCTCTGCTTCACTTGCACCTTCTTCCCATGACTGTTTCAGTTATAGACATAGTGCCCTCTAAATATCAGATGCACACAAATGTCAGGTAGGTTAAGAAAAATGGCCTTCCCCGTAGGCCTGTTTTTATGATTAGCCTCCATGTTATCAGACAGAAAAGACAATTCCCATTTTCCCATGTGCTAGCTCACATCTAGCTAATACTCAATGGGTGTTTCCATTGGCTTTGTCTTCATGATATATTACTCTCTCAATAGCTTTTGAGATAGGTAACCCCATATTTCAGTGATGTTAAGATCAGTTAATTATGTAACACTTCATCAATTTGTACCAGCTATTAGGGATGAAAAAGAAATGATTATATAAGCACAGCATAACAACATTCTTATTATGGTGGTTTTTTAATCTGTGATTCTTTTTTTTGATCAAACACTTATCAATTGACAATGTAAGAAAATCTTCTGAATGTGTTTGCCTCCTAGCATTTAGAAATATTCATTTCCATTCATAATTCAGTCTCAGGACTTTTATTAATTTTCTTCTTTCTGATTACTACCCAAACTCAAAGTATTATTTGATCTTTTAAATTATGTGTAATGCTTTATAGGCAAAATAAAGACAATAGTTATTTCTCTGCCTTGAGTTCTGGTCAAAACTCTATGTAAATTATTTATTATGTTTTTATATACAAATTTCAAAGATGTATCTAAACTATAAGCAGTTGTTGTATTTTTCTACACTGATACAATGTGTTCACCATTTGAAGCCATGCTTCCCTGAAATTTGAACACTTAGGAAAAGTCAACAGGAAGTTGAACAAAATGACCAAGGACAGTGATTGCTCTTCACAATGTTTTACTCAGCCACAACTACCCATCTAATCCTGGGCAATCACACTGGGTACCTTAAGATTTCTTTCCATTTTGTGTTTCCTATAGTTGCCTTTCCTGGCGCCTGTTTGTCACACTCCTCCCCTCCCTGTGCACAGGCATGTCTCATTTCAGTGGGGGATTATTGTGTAACTATTTTGAGGACATTTAAAATAAGGATTAGGAATTGACATTGAAGTTAAATCATTTTGCTGAATGATATAATGTAAATGATGGGATAAAGCCACATTTGAGTTAATAGGTTCTTCTGTGTATGGTTGTTTCCACATGTTTGAGCACTATCAGATACATCAAAATGTCCACACCGATGACAGGTGGGTGTCAAGATTCAATGAACATCACTGTTGGATACATCTTGATTTCCAAAAGTTATAATGTGAAAACCTTTTTTAGGGGAAATGAAATGCGGTGCTGTTAGTATGAGACAAAGATTGGAGAGGTAAAGACCTATTGGCCCAGTCAGTGATAGGGCTGATGTCAGAACCAAGGTGAATAGACTGTCAGGTCAAATCTATAATGCCTGATGCCAATATATCCAATCAGTAAATGAATTAATTCATCAATCAGTTACTATGGACTTGATTGAAACTGTTATATTTATATTCAAGTCCTGTACTGTCAAATTACAAGTGGAATCTGGAGAACTAGACCTTGGACTTTAGTGTGGTGATAAAGAGGGGAACAAAGGGTGGTAAGTTAAATACAGCATTTGAGACATTAAGAAATGAAGGCAAGATCAAAACAACTGGGTACGCTAAATAGGATTTTGTGGAAGAAGGGATACTGAAGGATATTTGCAATTCTGTGTATAGATTTTATTTGAAGCTATGAAGATTATCATATTCACCCAAAAACTTTATAGGTCAGCAGACTTCTATTAGTATTTTTAAGGAAACATTGGTCATATCTGACATAGGAAAAAAAAATCATAAGATGAGACTCATGTGAATTCACCCCTGAGAATTTAAAAGGGAGCCGTGGCAGCAAGAGATGCATGGACAGGAGTCCTGAGGCAATGGCTGGTCTCAAGCTGCGGCAGATTATATTACTGGCATTAATCAGGCCTCCGTATCAGATGCCTTCCTTGCACACTGCTTAAGGCCATGAAGCTTTATTTAGAAAATGTAGATTTGCATTTAGTTGGTAGATTTATTTATTTATTATTCATTTCGAATCCTTGTAAGTACAGGGACATGGGCTGTTAGTAGAACTGGTTTTGCTATTTTCGTGTGTACCTTTTAGCAGTGATTTTTACATGCACATGTACATATATGTATGTACATTTTAGTAGTAAATATACATATGCACACCAGGTAATGATAGAGCTGACATTTGAACGTAGACTGGTCTGGAGCAAAAATCAATGCTTTCATATCCTATGAATACTGATTTCAATAAATACATAAATTATTAATCAATTGCTATATACACTTATGTAAAGTTTTATGATTCTCAACATTTTAATAAAAACATCTCTAGTCATCTATTCCCATCTCCATTCATATCTTTGGATCCAGAATCAATTTAGACAATTCCTAGATAAAACATTTTAATAATATTTATCAGGAAACCTTTGCATCATCAAGAGTATTATGATGAAAAAAATGTACCATACAGGATCTGTGTAAGACCTATAGTAACAAGCAATGCTGAATGTATTATAATGTGAAAATTTGTTTTTAAAGAGTATCATTAGTTACTATAATCTGTACATCACAGACACTAGAATACAAATTAATAAAAACAATGATTTTAACCTATCTGTTTATGAATAAATTTACTGAAATATAAAGTAGCTATCCAATAAATCACAATTATTTCCTTCAACCTGTAGCAGGTTACACTCACTCTGTTTTCTGTACTATGGACACTGTCTAAATCTGTTGTAATTTAGAAGGCAGTTTAATGAACAGACAGTACTGGCAAGTACTGGTTAACTTGAAGCAAAATGATATTCAATTCCAACTATGCTTAAAGAGAAAAAATGTACTTAACTATACCTTTTTGAAGAATTTAAAATTTCTTGTTCTGCCCAAATTGTCCAGGAATCTAACATTATCATTTACAAATAAAATCTGACACAATCATGAATAAAGTTACTCTCTAAAAGTAATGTGATGGTGATTTCCTGAAGATTGCATAGTGACCCTACCTTCCCTGTCAGGTAACTTGTTGAGGAAAAAGGCCACTTCCACCTTTTTTTTTTTTTTTAAGTCAACACATCTTAAAACTGAGGAAAATGTCACCACCAACCGATTTAACAATCAAATCATTTGGCAAAGGAATTTTTCTAATGCTCTTCAACTACACTCAGTAGCAATGAATAATTTCTAGAGGTTCAAGAAACACCCGAACCTTTCAATGTTATCCTCACATTAGACCCAATTACAAACATGGCGGGGGCATGGGCGGGGGCTCTTCTTCATCAGTTCATAGTCCATGGCCAATAAAAATCAAGATACAGTGGGACATACATGCAGGACAATGTGCAAGAAAGTACCATCCTCCTGATAATAGGAAGTAAGATGTCTAGATAGTAATGAAAGCACTTCTGTAGAATCTATTGATAAGGAAAACTCAAACTGAGCACAAGAGCCTCTTCTTAGCTTATTGAGGCAGAACAGATGAGATAGTGTATAGATTTGAGGTATTTTAATATCTAGATTTTAACTGAAAATTTATCCATATTAATGGGCTCACCATAGGATTTCCACATGTGCATCCAGTGAGTGTTTGTCACGTCTATGTAGCCTTCTTTCATTTTTGCCCTCACCTCTTCTAGCATCCTTTCCATTCCTATGTAATTATTATTCTAATTTGAGTTTTCATTCATTTTTTGGGTTGTTTCTACATATGAAAGAGAGCATGTAATAGTTGTTTTTCTTTGAGTTAGTATTATTCTTCCTGTATATTTATTTGTAGAAAATGGCAGGATTTCATTCTCCTTGCTGGTTAAATAATACTCTGTGTGTGTGTGTGTGTGTGTGTGTGTGTGTGTGTGTGTGTGTGTGTGTGTGTGTGTGTGTTTCTTCTGTGTATCTCTTGATGAACATCATGTCTGATTCCATATCTGAGCTTTTGTGACGAGTGCTCCAGTAAACATGGTTGTATACACAAGTGCATGAGAGAGCTAGAATGTTGAGTGATGCTAAAATGCAGAGGGGAACAAAGCACACCAAGCTCAAAGACTAAGTGCATGAGAGAGCTGCAATGAGTGATGCTAAAATGCAGAGGGGAACAAAGCACACCAAGCTCAAAGACTAAATGCTCAGAGGGACTGATTCCTGCGACCATGGATGAGGTTGACCTCAGGTGGATTCATAATATTGAAAGCAGTTACCTACCGGGTTCCCATCACCTTAGGCTTAGCACAACACTGGACACAATGAACAAAGAACTCTGGTTTCTTGTCCCCAGGTTCATGCAGGCAGTCTTGAGCAACATCGCAGCTCCAGCTACTGACTCATTCCCAGAGCGCATGGTCTAGAAAGATCATTAGGATTTCCTTGCCCAGGAGTAGTCACACTGCATTCACATACTCTGTCATCTGAAAGGAATTTTGTCCACCTCCAATTTTGACTCTATTATGTTCAGTCTTGAAGGACATGGTGTTGAATTTGTGGAGAGAGGCTTTAGAGATCATGATCAAGCTCTGTGTACAGACAGAGCACAGGGCACAGGTCAGGTTCTCCTGTTGTGCAGGCCATGTCTATAGTAGACAAGGGAGGACTAAGGCAACTAGTAATGCTGTCACCATCTATCTACACAGGCCTCATGATTAAACACTTTTATGTTTCTGATTTAAATTAAATAAATTAAACCAAGTGTCTATTAAACATCCACACATGATTTTAAAATGAGAATGCGCTTTAAATCCTTCATGATCACTGCTCAGGTTAACCAATATTTTTTTGTGTGTGTGTGGTAACCGCTTGCTTAGCAGTTTAAAGAACCTGCAAAATTAATTTTATGTAGTCACTGTAATATTTTACATTTCCACCAAAAATTACACACGTGGTCTTTTTTCATGTTTTCATAGGAATTGGTAGCATCACTTAATATTATTCAATTAATTATGAACAATAATTGTCATTGCAGTTGAAACTTGTAATACTTTATGACTAAGATATTTAGGAACCTTTTATGTACCTGCTGGACAGTCTTCCTATTGACCTGTGTGTTGATGTCTTTTACTTGTCACCAATTCCCTTATTTATTCTTTTCCTTTACAGATTTGTAAGTTATTTAACTATTTGTTGGGTCATGATTTATAAATACACACATACTTTAATTTTACTGTCTTTTGGTATTTCTCCATATTTCATGGTGAAAGGTTTTAATTTGATGAAGTTGTCAATCAATCATTTTCCTTAAATTTTGTATGCTGGGTGTTATTGACTCTATACTGAAGAAATGTGACAAATCTATCTCAGCCCACTTGCCAAGTCAAGTCATCATCAATACTGGTAAATCACATTGGTAGTATGTACCCTTGATATCATGTGAAAGCTTAATTCACTTTTGCTGTTCTCTCCTTGACAATATCCATCCCTCCCCTCTTACCATGACTAAAATGCCAGATAAAATCTAATCCAAGGGGCAGTAAACAAAATATCTGTCAAGGTTATCTAACTTTAAGAAATAGAAACCTAAAGAGCAGCAGCTTGGCATATTGGATAAGATTGTGAAATACAGAAAGCACTTAGGTAAAACAAGAACTTGGAGAAAATCTGAACTGTAATTAATAATAATTTATTCAAATTATTTCATTAGCTCTGGCAGGTATACGTGCCAGTATAACAATCATGATTGAAGATACCAAGATGGAAGCTATGAAAACCCTTTGTATTGTCTTCACAATATATCTGTACCTAAGTATTTTCTAAGATGAAGTTTACTAGAAAACACATATTTTTCATCTCTATCCACTGAAAATGCTCCAGAAAAAGCAAGCCAGCAGCAATGACTGTCTCAGAACCAGTGGGAAATGGCTTAGAGCCTTAAAATAATGTTCTCTGTGTTTTTTTTTTTTTTGCTCAATACTGGAATTGTCTGCAAATTCAACATTTTAAATTTAAGTAAGGTGAACAAATATAAAGCAGTGATACCATTTAGCGTGTGCTGCCTTTTATGACTAGACTTTAGTTGTGCCTGGGTGTGGCCAGACCAGGATTTTCTGCATACTAAACATCATAGTCAACTAACCCATAACAGCAATCCAGTTCTCAAAGAAGAGGGGATACCAACCAATACCTCTCCAGGTCAGTGACTTATGTGAATCCAGATGTAGTTCAGCTGCAATCTATTGTCACAATAACATATAAAACTTTTATAACTAGAGGAGCATTGTGGCCCATTTATTCTGTTGGGTATTTATGCTGGTAAACACTTTTTAGTAAAAGAGATTTAAAAAGTAGTATTTTCCTTTCTATTCTGCAGGTGATATATCGTTTGTTTCTATACGTGAAATATCAAAAAAAAAAAAAACACATAAACTGTCCTGTCAAAGTAAATGGAGATAGCGTCAAAAGCAAGGCAGAAACACTGTGTTGTGCTTTTCTGCTGTTGTTGTAGCAATATATTGATGTGTGCACCATGACCAGGACCATGTTTGCTGAGTACCAGAGTCAATAGCTGCTCAGCATCCTGGGTAAATTCCCATCATTACATCTCACCAACTTCTTCACATAGGCAGCATCCTCTCCTTTCTGTTCACTTCTGCTTGGCAATCAATTTAGGGATTTTGAAATGTATGCAGAGGCAGAGATGGTATATCGATCCCTAAAATTCATGTATCATCAATGGTAGCTAATGATTGCTACCTATAACTCCTGCTGCAATGGACACAAAGAATACCTATTGGCTGATTTTCTATTTTTTGAGTGAGTGGATTGGGAGGTATTTTCAGTTTTAAGGAATCAATTGAGTATTTCAACCAACGAGGGCAGGAAAATTATGTAAGATGCTTTCCAGTGGTTTGAGTATCAAGAAAATCTTATGTTAAAAGAGGCATTAAGTTTCACATTATCAACTATTATAAGGAAGAATCTTCTCTATGCTTGTTCTTTTACACTTAATGCCCAAACTTATCTCCTTTTCTCTCCCAACCCTGTCTCTTCATCTTTCTCCATAGTATTATTTTGCCTTATAATATTTGTGTTCAAAATACAATACTTTTCTTCAAGCAAGCAAGAATGGAAACAAATCTGCCTGTGGCACCCAGCATGTGCTTTCAATTCCAGACATGCCTTTTGCATGTGGTTTTTCGTATGTAATGATGACTCTGAGGTCAGACCCATCAGGTTTCCTATTTCTCAAATCACTGAACTAACAAACTGCAGCCTCTCACTTAGCATGTTGGTCAAAACAACACTGTGTTTCTGCTCTGCCTTTTCAATAAGCGCGTGCTTTCCCTTTGCACTCCATGGAAATGAAAAACACGTTTCTCTACCAAACCACTACCCTATATCAAGCAGACACACACATCATGGTCCAGTGTGGTTACTATCTTTATATTATAAGACAACCCTACAACTGATGATTGGATAAACCAAAATAGAGAATAAACTTGCACAATAAGAGAGGTTTGATAAGTCTGTAGATTTTGACATAGTTTGGGATTTGGGGTTTACATATGTAATGATTTCATATTCCAAATTCTTTGACTAAGCACTTTTATACTTTTAAAATGCTAATGTATTAGTTCAAATTCTATTCTCAGATTGGAAATCTTCAATTATGCATAGCATTTTAATTTCCTAAATGTTTAATGTATACACATTAACAAACAAAACTCCAGCAATAACAAAGTGACCCCCACAAACTCTACAAATACTTGTCCCACTGAATTGGAAATTGAGATTACTGTCTGGGCATTGGAGTCTCATGAAACCATCAGTCAGATAAGCACACTGAGTAGGACCAGCCTGAAGTTTAATTGATACAATGTGAAGGCAAAGTAAAATAATAAGCCCAGAATCCAGGAGCTTATTCAGGAAAGCTTTTAGATTTTTCAGGATGTGACAAAAATATTTAGTAATTGGTGACTAATGTCGGACATTTTGGAATTTCCTAACAATGAAAAATGTCAACCAACCTGAGCCTCATTAAAGGCCAAGGGGATATGGACGTGATTGTGGATGAGGGAGTTTTAACTTTTTATGCAGTGAGTGTTTAGCCTACATAGACACGAATGCACTCTGTGTGGTGTGTGTGTGTGTGTGTGTGTGTGTGTGTGTGTGTGTGTAGCCTTTAGAGGTCAGAAGAAGGCTTCAGAGCTTCTGGTGCCAGAGTTATTGATGGTTGTGAGCCACCATGTGAGTGCTGAGAATTGAACTTGGGTCCTCCATAACAGCAACAGATGCTCTCAACAGCTAAGCCAACTGTTCCACTCAGATCAGGGATTTTTAAAGACCAAGTGGTCTCAAAAATAGCTCTAAAAATTACCAGCAGTATGAATATTTTCTTGTTGTTTAAGCACCCATGCCTACTTTATTTCAGCCTCCCTTTCCTTTTTTGGTGATAAAATTTAAAGTTTAAGTTTCTATTGTATCATATGAATAATGAGTTATGAAATGACTACAACAAGAATATTAACATCACAAAAACTAGATATGAAACTCAAATATTAACTATTGAAATTTTATTTTCAGTGTTTGGTGCAAGACAAACATCCTCATATATATGAAAATCAATTTCAGCCCATCAGATGTGTTGAAAGAATTGGTTTTACTATGTAGAAATAATTGTTACAATTTCATTATCATTAAATTCAATATGGAAGAGCACTGGGGCAACTTGCCTCCAAGGTTTATATGCAGGTCTCAAAGGAGACATATTCACTTCAGTTTTCTGTCATGATAATAATGATGTCTCCTTATATGAATTAATCCCAGAAAATTCACCATCAGTGCATGACTTCCCACTACTCAATACCTAGGTATTTATGTTGCTGAATTTCTAGTTTGAAATTCCATAGCTGGTTTCTGTTGTCTTGGATAATCCCTATGTATATACTCATATTGTCAAATTTTCTGCCTTCAACTATATAAGCATAATGATTAAATCATAAATTATATTTGCTGACAATGCCTCTAGAAAAATGTGTTAAATGAATATCTGCCTTCTTGTACTTTGTTCTGTTGAAGTTACCCAATATTCTGGAATCAACTCTAAAATTACTTCTTAAATTATAAAT